TCTCTTGCCCTTTGGTTTTCCCCTAGTGATTGATTTAGTATTCATCTTGTGATTGATTCACTCCTCTACACGGCGGTATAATCACCCTACTCACTCATTTATATTCTTGCAAACTAGTTGTGGCAAGCTCTTTAGTGTAATTAGATTTGAGAGCTTGCTTTGTTATTTTAAGTTCATCTAGTGGAGCTCTTTAGAGTAGCAAGATTGAGAGCTCTTAGTGAGTTGTAACATTGCAAGTTGTGTGCCTAGTAATCATTGCAACTAGAATTATTGGATAGGTGGCTTGCAACCCTTGTAGAGCTAGAGCAAGTTTGCATTTCGTTATTTGTCATACTAATCAAATTGCTCTAGTTGGTTTGTAGATTTTTAAATAGACTAATCACCCCCCCCCCTTTAGCCATATTAGGAACTTTCAACCATGTTGTTAGCGCTCTGTTCGTGAACCGGCGTTCAGCGTGACAAACTCATGTTGACATCCTTTTATCTCCCTCTCTGGTTGCTCTCTGGTCGTGATGCTTGCTTTGCTAGGTCGCTGTTAGTATCAGCTTTAGGTTAGCGGAATTGGTTGAACCCCGGTCGTGTTGATCAGCAGCCTTTGCTTCGCTTTAAAATGCGTGCACAACACCGATTGTAGTCGTTCGGCCTGAGTCCACGATCACCACGCATGCGCGGGCGCTGTTGGCGCCGAGCCCAAGTCGTGGCCGGGCTGTTGCCGCTGGCCAGCTCGCACTGCCGGTCGGTGCCACGCGACGTCCCTAGCCCTGCGTTGGCTGGTCTCGGCTGCCTACGGCCTGGTTCCCGTTGTTGCTCAGTGAGTGTGCTACACTTGAGTGGCTGGCCGCTGTGCCGCGTGTAGGGGCGAGCTACGGCTGTGGCTGCCCTCGCTTGGCCACCATGGCGCTCACTCCGCCCTCCAATTCACCTACCGCATCGAGCCTCCGGGTATGCGCCACTGCCCGCCGCGTCTGGGTCGACTGGGCCGGTCATAATGGCGATGGTGATGCCTGTCTGCCTCGCCTTGCCCTGCTAGCCGACGCCGGTGAGCCCCGCTCGGGTCCTGCTTCTACATTTCAAGGGTTTCGCGCCAAGCCTCCATGTCTAGTCATCTGTGCGCACGTGCTTGTGCTGCCGCCATCGATCAGAGCTGCCCTGTCTTAACCTACTCGGGCTCCCTCGTGTGCCCTCTCCACGACCACACCGTGCGCGAGACCACCGCTCCTTCTTCCCTCCTAGCGTCAGCAAGCTTCACCGCAAAACTCCTTGCTCCAATGGATACCTTAGGAAGTCGGCTAGCCGTCTCTTTCCCCTCAAGCCCGGCGGAGCACTACCGACCGGCAATTTGGCATTTTGCTCGTCGCCGGTCATGTGCGCCACCGAGCCAATAGGTCTAGGGGTAAGGCCCATAGGGTTGATAGCAGTTCAGTTGCTCGTAACCCCAAACTCGCCTTGACTCCCTCTATCAGGTGCTCGCGCTATTTTGGCCAGGGTACTCATCGACGGTGTGGTGACGCGTTGGTGTCCGCCTCGGAGCGTCGCTGCCGGGCTCACGCGCACATGGCCAGGTCATCTCAACCCTCCTCTGCATCAACCGTCACCTCAGCACGGACCACGATAAGCCTCTTATGCTTTCCCGCCGTCTCTACTCTTCGATTAGTGCCCTAGGTCGTCGGAACGGTCGCGCCGCCGCACGGTTTGGCCCGACGTCGAGGATAGACTTCGGTAGTGCATCATCGAGTTTCCTTTCGCTTTCCATAGCTGCGCGTTGGCCCGTAGGTCTCCATCGGCCGGATAGATGTGCCGATTAGGCCCTTAGTTGGTTGGCTTCGCCATGCAGTGCCGACCAAGGCCGCGCCGACGAGCGCGGTGGCATCGAGGACCATCCCGTTGTGAAGACGGGATAGTTCGAGGGCTGGGTTGCAAAATCGATGTCGATATGAATAGTGCGCATAGTAGTCGTATTGATATCTAAAAGCTCGAGGGTTTTTCTGCAAAACCGCCATCGCGCGCGGGCCTCCCGGTTCGGGCCGTCGCTGGTCCATCGCGTCGCACGCGAAGCCATGCCCCGCGCTGGGCTGCCGGGCCAGAATTGGTTGCCGCCGGCCCTTTTCCTTTCTCCAAGCATTTTCTAATTTAGTTTGTAAGGCAAACTTGTAAATTCAATATAAATTTGTTTGGTTGTCCAAAAATTATGAAACTAATTTTGTTAGGTTCCTAAAATCATGATCTACTTGTTAATATATCTTGCTCACATAGTTTGATAGTATTTTTAGGAGTTATCTAATTAAATTGAGATGCTTAATATTGTTAAGATATAAACTTGTAGGAATTTTTGTAATAAATTGGCAATAGTGTTGGCTCTAAAAAATTTATAGTAAATTCTTAATATTATTAGGTGGTCACTGTAATTTTTGTAGCTCCATAATAAGTGGCTTGCTAAGATAGCTAAGGAGCCATAGTTCGAATATATATATATATTAAATCAATGAAATAAAGAAACACCTTGAAAATTTAAAGAAAAAACAGTTGTTGGGAAATAACGCCTTATTCGATAACATGGATACGTGGACCTAGTACGTTAGTCACTAGAGCTAGCTCGTTAGCGTGAGAGGCGTAAACATATTTTAAGAGTTGCGGTTGCCGTTGATTAATTACGTCTCTGCGTTGCATCCACGTATATCATAATAGGAATAATGATGGATCGTGGAGTCGATCGGAGTAGAAAAAAAGATGGTGCCTTAATGATCGTGTCACCACGATGGAGTGTTAACTTTTGGTTATGTCTTACCTAGGCAAGCCCTGATTCATAACCCCTATTATTCTGCATTTTATTTTATGCTTGTGCATTAAGTTTAAAGGAGTTGAATGAAGTCCATTTGCATATATATCCTTATCTAATGAGTCCTACTAGTATGTCAGGATCGTATAGATTGATATGCTATAGGACCTGATAGAAGTCGAGTGATTACCTGTCACTCGCGAGAGATAGAAAAATATATCATTGTTACTATTATCGTACTACCATCACATGGAATATATATATGGACAATAATTGGAGACCGGGCAGGACCGTATGTGGACTTGGTTAGGCAATCGAGAGAGACTCTAGTTGCATTTGTTCCGCCTGTGTCGGTTGAGGACCATCCATTGCTATGGATGGTAGTCAGGTCACAAACTTATTATCCTGAGCACATACTTACTTAGGGGAGCAGAAAGGCTCGTTGCGCTCTTGTCGTGGGTTCCGGCTCTTTTCGGACCGATTGATTGGAGGCGGGGAAAGGTGGAGGTCTAAGAACCACACTAGGACCGGGTCTCCAGTGTGGGGGCTTGGAGTCCAAGTTTGGACAGGGACCTGGACCCCTCGACAGGAGTGAAATAGGTTGGTCTCGTTTGTGCCTGGGGTACAAGTGAGGTGTGTGTTTCAGGGTACCCAGCTGGGATACATTGATTCGTGAATCGTCGTTTCTGTGAACGGTACTGACTTGGCTATGATCTAGCACCGTAGTAAGAACTAAAATATGAGAGGTGGTAAAATAGTTCTGATTGTTTACCATATACTTGAAAGTAGCTAATTTAGAATGATTAGCTAATTAACTAAAAATAGCTGTTAAAAACTTGAAACATAAGGATGCACAATTAGTAATGCTTCCTACAAATACAATAAACCAGCGAGCCAAATAAGCCTTGCATATCCTTGAGTCTATTATTTTTCTCCTGTCGGGTAAGTCTTGCTGAGTACAATCGAGTACTCAGGGTTTTATTCCCCCTATTGCAGGTGACAGGTGGATACTAGAGCTGACTCTTGTGTGGAAACCTTCTAGTGAGCTCAGAGATGATTCTTTTCGCGCTGCGATCATAGTGTTTATTTATAACTCTCACTAAAGATTTTTATAAGAAAATATGTAAAATCTACTAGCATATCTTGTATAGAAATGTCCACTACGTTAATGCTTCACCATGTTATTAGATTAATCTTTGTTTCCATTGTAACTCTGATCATATGTTTAATTTCTGCTGTTGCATTCAACTTATTTAAGTACTCTGATGTTGTAATAAAGTGATGTAAGAAATGGCTAGCAATATTGTAAGCTTTATCCTCTCGTTTATGATCCTGATAAAAAAATATGGATTTTCGAGTTCTCCTGTTGGGTGTGCTCGATGGAACAATATAAATTAGTGCGCTCCTCTGAGTACTTAGTGTCTAATGATTGACAGGTACTCGTACAAGGGCATTAGCTCAGACGATTCTGCCACACTTAGCTTGTTGGTAGAGGTACGGTGTAGTTTAGTTTTTTTAGCCCTTTTGGTTTGTAATCGTTTACAATGGTGACGTGCTGGTTTATCCTGTTGATGCTCTTTTCGTTTTCGAGCCTTTCTGTTTTTCTTGGCGGTGGGTGGTGGGCTTCTACTAGCCGCGTCCAGTGCCCTCAGTGTTTTGCGCTTTTTCAGCTGGTGTCCCCACTCCCCAGCGTGTGTGTCTTGTGTTTGTATCGAACACATTTGGCTTTCTATAAAAGCCGGGTTTACCTTTGTTAATTTTTTTAAATTTAGATAAATAAATTATTTTTTAAGCTATCATTTTTAGTTGGATTATTTGCTGAGGTATTTGTTTTTTCTTTTTGAGGAAAAGGTATTTGATCCACTAGCGCTATTTGATTCACGACTCACGGTTTGCTAGTGATTTGATCTTGTACGAGACCTCAGCCGGTTGAGTTATTGAAAGGCAAGTTTTTTTTTTTTTAAAGAGGTATGGAATCTAAACAGGCCATCGATGGACACCAGGCCATGTTCCGTGCTACAAGGTGCTAGGCCCATGGCCCAGCAACTCTCCGTGGGCCGGATCCTGACTTCCTAACCGCACGAACCTCCGACGCCGAGCGTGGCGGCTGCTCGCCTCGGCGCCTCCGCCCACCGCCGCCGGCGCACGGGGAGCATATAAGGGGCCGTACCCCTCGCACACGCCCCCATCGCCACACGCGTGCAACGAGGCTGGCGCCGTCGCCATGGCCCTGCTGCCGTCGCCCCCTGCTCCCCGTTCCACCACCGGGCCGCGCCCTCGCCCTTGCTGGCGCCGACGGCCGCCTCGGCGCGCCACCGGAGGGGAAACCTGCGCCTCGCTGCAGCCGGCTCCCGATCCGGCACTACCGCCGCGCCAAAGCCCCGTCCGCCCGCCGCCGGCAGGAGGAGGTATGCGCGCGTGGATCCCTTGCGTTAGTGTCGCTCACTTTTGGGGTTTATTAGGCGTTTCACTTCTAAGGCCCGATCGATGTTAGTTGTGTACCTTGTCGAATGCTCCATTCGGTCTACAATTCAGCAAGCCTCAAATTTAGAGACGCGTCGTTGATTTGTAGTAATTGAACGCCCCCAAAAGAAGCCTAAAAAATCCAACTGGACAAGTGACTGTGTAGTTGCTCGTTCACGAGCTGAATCATCAACAGTTCAGCAGACGGAATTCCGATATTCAGATGTCTAGATACAGTTCGCACTGCTGTTTCAAATTTCAATACCATCATTCTTCTGCTACACCTAAGTCAAATACTCAGAACAGAATGTTCAGCACAGCCTGCTCCTAATTTTTGCTGCTTCGGTGGTGTCTGTCTCGGTGATGACGCTAGCTGTGTCGAGCAGGTGCGAGTGCTTTGACCTCCATCGGCAGTTAGTTCCTTATGGGGAAGCTTACTGTTGGCAGAAGTCCATTGTTGAGAGGAGGAAAGGGTTGCTAGACAGCGGCGAAGACCACTCTGACACCTTGATTGCTTTGCAACATCCACCGGTGTATACGTTGGGCACTAGAAGCAAGAAGGAATACCTCCATTTTGACATGGAAGATGCTCCTTTTGAGGTTCACCGTATTGATCGTGGTGGGGAAGTGACGTACCATGGCCCTGGACAGGTATTTATCAGCTATGTTTTGGTAGTTGCATGTCTAGCACTTCATAGTTCATACTTTGGTGGTGTGTTTACTGATTAGTTGCTTCTTAATTGTGGTTGCTGTTTAGTTATAGCTCCTAGTAACTAGTATAGACCCCAGCATCGGTCATGTTGAAGTCAGGATACAACTGATCTTGACTCCATACTGCATACTCTTGTTCAGTCTTTGGTTCAAAAATTTGACTTTGCAGCTATCATGAGTGAAGACTTCATAGGTGCTTCTTACAGTCATCTATTTTGTTTTTCCTAGCTTGTTATGTACCCGATTATGAATTTGAAGTATCACAAAGAGGATCTTGACTGGTACTTCAGGTCACTTGAAGAAGTGATCATCCGTGCACTGAAATCCGCCTTCTCTATCAAGGCAGCAAGAGTAGAAGGTCTCACTGGTGTTTGGGTTGGTATGTGCAATCCTTCACAAAATTTCAAGTATTTTACCAAGTTTCCAGTTATCCCATTCATTGTTAATTTTCTAATGCTTGTAAAGTCAAGGGGTGCCATATGGTATTGCTAATGATTCATCTCCATTTCCTCTATAGGGAACCAGAAAGTTGCCGCGATAGGGATTCATGGTTCGCGGATGATAGTTTATCATGGTCTCGCACTAAATGTCACAACTGACCTAGCTCCGTTTACAATGATTGATCCTTGTGGCATAAAGGACCGTGGTGTGGGGAGCATTAAGGAGATATTACGGAAGGCATCTGGTGAAGGAGAAATCGATGATGCATTGCTGATGGATATAGCATATGATTCCATGATCAAAGAGTTTGCTGAATTTTTCCATCTCAGTCTAGACTTCAGCCCTGATTGCAGTTTCCAGTGAAAACAACAATTTCAACTAACCGTATGACATTCTATTCTGGACCAACTGTTAGCCACAGCCTTTCATGCTGAATATTTCCGTATTTGCTGCACTCCACTATGTTATATGCCACTTCCACCTTTGAGGCACATGATGTCTCTGGAGTCCTAGAGTAGTGGAGTCGGTTTCTTCGGTGTCCTCACTCTTCATGGGCTCCGGTGTTTATTTAGCACCACTGCTGTTTTTTTTGTACGTAACAATGTATAATTACTGATTCTTCCATTTGACTCGTAATAATGTCCTAACAAGCGTTTAAAATTGTGTATTGTTGTTTGCATCCACAATCTATGTTCAAAATACTTTCGTTTATGCTGTCGCTTCCTTCAATTTTTTTTGGAAGAACTAGCCTCTCAGAGGCACCATGGAGTGGAGTGCCTTCAGAGTTCAGGTGCAGCTTCACAGGGCGCAGTACTGTAGCATATCGTCTGCAGCAGTACTGTAATGAGCCCGTGAATGTTTTTCTAAACAACTGATTTACACAAGAAGAATCCAGCAGGGTAAAGTCTAACGTGACTATCAGTTTCAGCACTGACAGCATTGATCCCTGTGGCATAAAGGATCGCAACATGGGGAGAGATGGTGACACAGGAGGATCTAGTTCAGTCACTGAAGAAGAATCGATGAGACGATGACACATTGCTGATAGATATGATATGGCATATAACTCTTTGATCAAAGATTTTTCTGAAGTCTCACACTCCCTCGAGACCTCAACCTTAATTGGAGATTTCTGCAACGCAATAACCTGAACTAAATTAACATTGCTTTATTTATTGGACTTCAATAGAAACCAGAAACCAGTACACGCAGACAGGTAGATAACAGAGGCAAGCATCATTTTCTCAAATGATGAGCTCCTTCAATCGAATAGCGGCAAAACTAGTGATCTCTTCCTTCGAATTCAAGCTTTCGCTTCACCTGCAAACCATCCACAACAGTTGAGTTCAACAAATTGGTCAGCACCCTATGATATTGGAGACGAGAGAAATTCAGCAAGGCATCTCACCTTCTTTGGCAGCGGATGTGGATCCTTCTGCCTTGGTGTCGACGCCTGGCCATGGCTTGCAGCTGCAGTGCTTCCCCTTCTCGATCCCTTCGTACACGGCCGCGACGTGCTTGCCGCAGCCGTTCCAGGTGAACTTGCTGCACTTGCTGCACTCCACCTTGTAGCACATCTTGTTCTTCTTCTCTTCTTTCAATTCAGATGAAGGAACAGGATGCTGTTTCAGTTTCTGGAGTGGTGGTTTTCCCTCAGTGTCTTCGCTCTCTGCAGGCTTCAGTACTTGTATATATAGCTCCATGTTCTGCTGGTTCCCTGTAAATTCCAGTGTATTCCACTATGATTCCATGCGGCCCAATGCGATTGGTGAAGGAAACAAAGTGTGGATATTGTTCTTGTGTTAACATTTTGTGTTCTGATAAAACTATGAAGTTCTGCGGTTCTGAGGTATCTTGTGGCCAAACTATTGTTTCTTGCTTGCATGGTAAAGTACGACGAAGGAAACCAAAGATGCCTTTCTCCTGACACTAACTAATTCCAGTGTATTCCACTATGATTCCATGCGGCCCAGTGCTATTGGTGAAGGAAACAAAGTGTGGATATTGTGTAGCACAACCGACCAATTTATAAGACCACAGGTACAAGGTTAACCACCGGAGCGGTCGCGCTGTCATACTTGAACCAATATAAACCCGATAGTCCGTCGAGTGTCACGAAGGACCTCGAAACATCCAACATACCAACCAAGATAGTACATGATTCAATTTCCATGTCATACGTTACATAAAGTTCACACATAGTTTATCGTACATCGGAGTTCCAATATAAATATTACAACACCAAGTTCAACTGCAGTAGCGGAAGCAATATAGTTTTAAAACCATTATCACACACACGTTTCAAATATATGTGTAACACCCTCGGTGTTATATTATACAGCTTTTTGCTAAAACACTGCATGAACATTTTACTTATGTGTACATGTATGTAATATATGGTATAAATCAATTTATGGAACTTGAAACGTTCATTTGGAACATGAAATGAATGTTACATTGCATGTCACGTTGTATCACTTTATGTTCTAAACGAATTTTTATTAAACAAAAAGGCTAATGAACGCACACATGCGAACTTGCTCTCGCTTTCACGTTTGCATGCATGGCCACGTAAAGTTTGTCGTCACGTTGTCTTGGACGGTGGCCGGCCGGCCGTGCCGTGCCAAGGCCAAATCCACTGAGCTGGCCATCCTTGTTTTCGCGCACGTGTGGAGGACGAATGGGAGTACAGATCGGTGCCTAACTTCACTGGGCGGTAGTACGATGTCGGGCATCAATTCAAGTTTCGTTATCGCCGGCCGCTTTAAGTTCCGAACGACGTCGCCTCTGCATTTTTGCCAAGCAACACTCCACCATTTTCCAGTTAGCCATACTCACATCGCGCTCTTCTGCGTCGAGCTAGTAGCAGCGTCGGCGAAGCTCGAGCCAGCAAGCAGAGCAGCCGGAGGTGTGCACTGTTGCTCTTAGCTTGTTGACATCAGCATGACGTCATCCCTGCGTCACATCTATTTTAGGGCTGCTTTTATGTAGAAAAATAAAGCCCGGAATACATTGAAATACGCCACTGTGGGCAGCATCCGTAGCCGCCTGGGCCAGCTCACGCCCGTGGCCTGCGCTCCCTCCCGCGCGCGCGCGCAGCGCTGGCGCTTGGCAGCCATGTCGCCTTCTTGGGCAGCACATTGCGTCATGCCGCCGCTTACCCACCACATTGCAAGGCACACGCGCTGCGCTGGGCATTGGGCTTGGCTGGTGTTCTCTTCATGCCCATGTTGGGCCGCTGCGCGACGCGCATGCTTAGGCACGCCGCGCGCTGCTTTCGCCTTTGTTGGACCGAGCAGCGTCGTCGCATGTGGGCCTTATTTGTGAATTGCGTTTTCTAAGTTTCAGTAAATTGCAAATGTTTATTCAATAAAGATTTTAACTAAACTTTGATAATTTATAGTAAATTGTGTAGTTAGTGCACAGTTAGCTATTATGATGATAGGCTCATAAAATCTAATTAGAAAGCTTAGTATTATGTAGATTAATATTTGTAGGAAATCTTGTGGCAAATCGGTAATAGTTTTAGCTTTGAAAATTTTACAGTAGGTTCACTAGGATATTGTGTACTTGCTGTAAATTTTGTAGCTTTAGAACGAGTTGCTAAATAAAGTAGTTATTACCCTTGTGTTATCGTATATAGCGAAATCAGCATTAGGAGTAAGAATAACCGTAGTTGCTATAATAATAATGAATGTCATATTTCAAACTTGTTATCAGATAGCTTAGCACCGTGGTCGGTAGCACTAGCTTAGTAGTTAAATTGATGTACTTTTATTTTAAGAGTTGTTGTTGTTATATTCCTAAGCATTGCATCGTCATTTCATGCATATAGATCACGAGCTGGTAGACTTCATGCCCGTCGGCGAGCCGAAGTACGATGAGGTGATCGAGGAGTATGAGGAGGAGATTCTCGTGCAGGAGGGAGCCCAGGAGCCTGTTAGTGCTGACCTTACTGACCCGTCGCCTGCCCAAGGCAAGCCCCGGTGCATAACCCCTATTTTAGTGATCACTGAAATATATATATATGATGTGCATTTAAGTTATAGGCATTTTATGGAAACTACATGCATAAATATATCTACCCATGAGTCCTACTAGTACAGGTCGAGTAGCTGCTATGCTCTGGATATCGGTAGCATGAGTAACCTGCCGTTACTTGCAAATAGGAAATAAAATATGATGACTCATCATAAAATAATAGAAAGGAAAGTGGTGATCGGGCAGGGATATGGTTTGGGTACTGGTGGGTGTAAGGGGTTGTGTCCTACGGCCAATAGGGCATGACTCGGTTACACTTTTTCTCTGTCCATGTCAATTAAGGACCGGTCGTTGCATATGACTCTAGGCAAGTCATAGATTTATTGTCCCGAGCGCATACTTGGGTATGGGTGCAGAAAAGACTTGTTGCTCTCTTGTCGTGGATCCGGCTCTTTCTGGACCGACTGATTGGAGGCGGAGATAGTGAAGGTCCTTACACCACACTGAGTCCGGAACTCAGAAAGTGAGGGTTGAGAGTCCAAGTTTGGACGAGGACCTAGACACCTAGGATAGGAGAGTGATGGGTTAGTCCTGCTTATGCCTGGGGTACAAGCGGGGCGTGTGTTTTCGGGGCACCCAGCTGGGCACATTGATTCACGAATCGCCGGAAAATCTTGTACGACTTGTCTGTAGTTTAGCACCGTGGTAAGAACTGAAAGTTGAAAGGAGAAGAAATAGAACTGATTGCTCAACTCTTGCTTGAAAGTAGAACATGTGCTTATATAGACTGGCTAGAGGATAACTTAATACGGGTTATAATAAGACATGAATAAGGACTCACTGTTAGTGTTGCTTTCTGCTAAAGAAAACCAGCAAACCATAAAGCCTATCATATTCCTTGGAGTCAGAAAATTATTCCCACTAGTCGGATAAGTCTTGCGAGTACATTGTGTACTCAGGATTTATTTACCCCTGTTGCAGGTGATGCTTGAGCAGTAACCTATGTGGAGGATTCTTCTGGTGAGCTCAGACGAATCCTCGTCTCTATCGCTAGATGTATATTTTTAAATTCCATTGTTTATAATTTCACACTCTGGTATTTGATATTGTAATAATGTACTTTTTAAAAAACTCTTATGTATGAAATGGACAAGTGTTGTAACTTGTTCTCATTATTGGATGCTTGAAAAAATGTGGATCTTTCGGGATCTCCTTGGGGTGTGCCCGACAGACACCGTCCACGGTAGCTTGCTTTCGGGGTGTTTAGTGTTTGGTGGAAGACGAGCGCCTCCGTAAGCGTGCTATTTCAGGCGGTTCTGCCATAATATGCCAGTTCATGATCAAGTCCGACAAAAGCATCATAGGTAAGACAACACAGAAGGGTCATGCCCGCGGCCTCACTCCTCGCCCATAGCTGGAGAGAAGCAATTCTTGCAGTACCCATGATACACTGTAACATCTGCAACAAGTGGGAAATAAACCCTGAGTACGAGAAGGTACTCAGCTAGACTACCCGTCATAGACCAAGAATAAAGCGACACCAAGGATCATGTAAGGCTTTATAAGTGGAGCTAGCTTGACTACATTTTGCATTGAACTACACTTTTTTATAATTCTGTCTTCAAGTTAATTATAGCTATTCAACTCTAGATTAGCAACTAACCTATGTCAAACATGTGTTATACAATTATGTAGCACAAAAACAGTAACCATAGCCATTTATTTTATCACCATCATAGCCATTTCATTTTCATTGTTCTTACTACGATAGAAGAAAGCTCAGTCAAGTTTCTCACTATCCGGGAGAGACGACGATTCGAATCGATTGCAACCACCTGGACAAAAATCCTAACATAAACCCACACTTTCTCCGTCGAGGTCGCATTGGGTCACCTTTGGTACAACTTAGGACTCAACTTTGTAGGTTCGATCAGCGCCGCACCCTCAAGGACTGACCAACTGCCAGGATGCTCAAGCCCAGCCTACCCTTGGGCTCACATCTGGCTCCCCACACATCCTTACTACCTCCAGTGTGCGCACTCAAATAGAATGACTCCGGGCCAGAATTAAGCTACTTGGCTTCACAGTCGAAATGAGTTATCCGGCTAGCTAAGTGAGAGGTTGTGTTCAAAATGACCGAGGACCAACAACTATACGGTCCTTAAGCGGCACAGACAGAATCATATGAGTCAACCTACAACATAGACTCCGTTCGACCTTCAATTACATCATCATATGGTTCTTTTCTACGATAGCAAATATAGCTAACTGTTACTAGGTATCCACCTATAGCTCGCAGGTGATAGGAAATCACCTGACTTCTACCGAACTAAGCGTGGCTAAGCATTTATTTGATCCTGGACCTACACGGGGTTCAAGGTATATATATTTTTGGACAAGGAGGTCATATGCATCAAGTGTTTCCAAACAACTCGTATAACGTAATGCATCAAACATAAAGAACTCAAATTGATATTTGTAAAACGTAGGAGGCTTAGAATGGTCTGGGCTTGCCTTTCAGAAAAGCTGAGGGTCAGTGGTCGGGGCACTCAGGCAATTCTTCTAGAGCCTGTCCTTCGCCTTCTAGAACTCCCTGCTGCTGGGTCTCCTGCTGGTCCTCTTCTCCCACGGCCTAGAACTTCAGAAGTGTTATTCCCTCCGGCGATCCTATATGCATGAAGATATGGATAAATACAGGGAATGCACAAGGGATGATATGAATGATTTGTTGCAATGCATATATATATATACATTCTTAACCAACATGGTAACAAGGTAATACTATGATTTACTAAATTTTATTGAGTAGGTGTATATATCTTCTCTAATACAAGAAACATACGCTCACCACTTTCTAGCAACCTAAGATAAGAGTTGTTCATCATCAGCAAGAGACCTAAAGCCTGCAGCTAACAACTTATCTCAATTAGCCTAAGCATCTAAACAACAGGCCTTAAGTCTATGCAAAGCAACCATGCCAAGAAAATTAAATGCAAGTGAATTATAGAGCAATAATTAACTAAGTGCATACAACAAATTAAAACTGGGCACAACCAATTGCACCATTAGGTTATATATATTGCCAACATGTTAAAAAGTATAATGGTTGGACCCAAACCAAATTTTTTATAATCCTTTGTTAATTCATTTAATTTAGATAAAAACTAGAACCACGATTTCTAATGCTCAATAAATTCTAGAAAAATTACAGCAGCCCATGCATGCTCTCAAAAGCCTTCTGTTAAAATTTCATGCCATTTGGAAAAGTACAACAACCTCTACAAAAATAGCAAGTTACATGGTGTATTACCACTTAAATATACTTATCATAGTGAAAAGTGTCGAGCAACAGATTTACTATTTTTTTACATTCCTCATAATACCAGAACACTGTGGAAATTATTTCATGCCCATAAGTTACATAAATCTACCACAATTAATTTCACAAGAACTAGCATTTAATTAAGCCAAAAAAAAGAAGTTATATTCCAAGTAGGCCAACTGTAGATTAAACATTTTTCCTAGCTCTAGCATGTCAAAGCAAGACTAGCAAAATTAGAATCACATTTTTAGCATCTCCCAAACTCAAGTTATGCATTTTTCAAGGTTAATGAGAATAAACAATATAATTTAAACAAGGCATAAAACTGTAGTACATACCAAGTTTAATATTTTTAACAGATATTACTCATCAAGATGAAGCTAACAAAATTTGGTTCACTCAATTTGGACACACCTAGATTTAGTTATGCATTTTACAGGTTTGCATCAAAATCTGGAAAACATTTAAAGAAAATATCAAAATCGGTTAATGCTACGTGCACCTAGTGCACTGCACCCAGTGCAGCTGACTGCTAGGACTCGGGTCAACCCGGCCCCACCTGTCACTAGCACAGAAGCAGGGTGGCACTTTGACCAGTCGTAGCTCACCAACGGCGAGGTCTCCGGCGGTAAGGTCACCACCAACATGCTCTCCACCTTCGTGCGCATTTACTAGAGGGGTTGGTTGGCCAAGGGGCTCACCGGAGCAAACACGACGGTGGCCATGGCAGGCAACGGAGGCGCACGGCAGTGCCATTGCCATCTCCAGCAATGTTGAGCTCGCCTGAGCTCGGTGGAGGCTCCAATAAACCTTAAGGAAACTCGGGTTAGGGTTAGGGGCTACGGTGGAGCAGCGGTGTGGTCCGGCCACGTGCAAGGTGTCACGGCGGTGAGAGCGCGATGATGCTCTGGCCATCTCTAGCCACGGTGACCTCGAACCAGCCCAGCTAAGGCTTCAAGGTGGTCTAGCGGAGATCTATGGTTAGGATTGGGGCCCTAGGAGTCACCGGTGAAGCATGGCCGCGTGCATGGTGGCGTGGCGTGCGTGAGCGTGACGACGGTGCTATGGTGTTCCGATGAGCCGGGTGACAGCATCATGCATCCGTCTTCCCCGTGAGCTTCACCGTCTCTAAGTGGTGCTCTAGCTCTTGAAAATGAGAGAGGAAGGAGACTAGGCAAGCGTGGCCGGTATTGTCCAATGACCAACGGCTACAACATCTACTAGATCTCGCGACTACGGAACGATAGAGAAGGAGAGCGGTGCATGTGTGAGGTGGTCTGGCCACGGTGAGCTCAAGCTCACCGGCGCAAGGCGACCATGGTGATAGCTCTAGGGGCTTTACATGTGCTCGATGGGCGTTGCTAGCGGGTCGACAGTGTAGTGCGCGACACGGCGAAGCTATGGGCGAGACGAATCGAGCGATGGTGCGACGTAGGTGGCTAGCGCGGCCGACGGCGGCACGACGGTGGCGGCGCTATGCTTTTTCTCGCTTAGGTGAGAGAGAGAGGGAGAGCGAGAGAGTGAGTGAGCGAGAGAGTGAGTGAGCGCGTGAGAGTGTGGGTGCCCGCGTTCTCCCCCTTCTGGCTCGACAGAGCGGGTCGACGCCGGCGTATGGCCGCCACGCGGTGCGCGCGGCCTACCCGTGGTCGGCCACGACTGCGCGTGGCAAAGGTCGTTTTTAGGACTGATGCAGGTGTCTGAAACCTGATTTTCAACCCTCTAATACTCCTGAATTGTGGTGCATTTTGGTAAACCAGTTTCACTATTTTGTAGAGTTGCACGAGTACTCCAAGTTTGCTTAAGGAAGTTTTGTCAAATTCTAAATGGTTTTCAAACTAAAAATCCCCAAAGTGGGCTACTTCGAAACTGTAATTCAGCCAATGACTTAGAAAAATTTTCAAGTTTCAAAACAACATTAAGTTGAATTTTTTAAGCCCTATGTGACAAACTTAGGCACTGATTAAGCTCTTGCCCCTTAAACAAAGTTTGTTCTATATGACATAAACTACAACTTTTATTTAGGTCCCACAGCCATGCAAGCTCTCTAAGTAATTGGTCAAGATAGGTCAAACAATCAACTTAATAAAGGCAATTCTAGTAGAATTATCACTTAGAAGCATTTTTGGGCCAACTCATGAATACAAACTTGGTTCTATTTTTCATTCTAAGTATGTCTAAGTTGTTTTGGTGACCAAACAACACCTACTTTCATTAACCAAGCATGACCATAAGGCATATACATGTATAATTAAGCATCTCATGAAGATAAACCTAGAGTAAATAAATGCTAGTCTTATGCTTATGCTCATGAATGAGTGGATGATGCTTATGCTCATGCAATGTAAGTGAAAAATGCAAGCTTAACACTGGGTGTTACATATTGTTCTTGTATTAACATTTTGTGTTCTGATAAAACTATGGAGTTCTGCAGTTCTGAGGTATCTTGTGGCCAAACCATTGTTTCTTGCTTGCATGGTAAAGTACGACGAAGGAAACCAAAAATGCCTTTCTCCTGACACTAATTTGCCAGTGAGATTTTAAGATAATGGTGTACAGTACATTATGTTTTTTTTTGTTTTTAAAAATTGTAGCTATACAACAATGGATGGCATGTTGGACACTGAATTTCTAGAGGAAATGAGGGACAAATTTTTTTGTTAAATCACATTGGTTTCCTCATCAGTGTACAAGACCTCTATAGCTTACGCTATGCAGCAAAGCGTGGAATGGAGCCGTTGGTCGACGGCGAGCTCCGGTCGCTGACCCACACCTCCTGCACCGACACCGGCGAAGCCGCGGCCTTCTCCGCCACTGCGTCCGGGCCGTCCAAGCTCACGTCGATCTGGATGTCCATCTTATTCACAGGCCTGACCCTCGACACGGGCTCCTCGGAATCGCAGTCGTCCGGGACCGGGGCGGCGAACCTGATCCGGTGCAGCTCGGCGGCCACCTCGCTCATGGACGGCCGGACGTCCTTCTGGAACGCGAGGCACCGGAACGCCAGCTCGCTGACGAGGCGGACCGAGCCCATGACCCAGTCCTCGACGTCGCCGTCGCCGAGGAGCGCCGGGTCGACGATCTCGCCCACCCTGCCCTTGCCGATGCGGTCGAGCGCGAGGGAGGCGAGGTTGACCTCGGCGGCCGGGCGGTCGAAGTCGACGACCTTCATGGCGGTGATGAGCTCCAGCAGCACGACGCCGAAGCTGTACACGTCGCTCTTGTCGGAGAGGTGGAAGTTCTGGTGGTACTCCGGGTCCACGTACCCGGGCGTGCCCTGCGGCGCCGTGGACACGTGCGAGCGCGCCGCCTCCAGGCGGTCCACGGCGCGGGACAGGCCGAAGTCGGCCAGCTTGGGGCGGAGCGCGCCGTCGAGGAGGATGTTGCTGGACTTGACGTCGCGGTGGAAGATGGGCGGCCGCATGCCGTGCAGGTACGCGATGGCCGCCGCAGTCTCCGCCGCCACGCCCAGCCGCGCGCGCCACGTCAGCCGGGAGGTGCGTCCGCCACTGGCGAGGAGGTGCTGGGAGAGCGTGCCGTTGGGCACGTACTCGTAGACGAGCACCTGCTCGCCGCGGTCGAGGCAGCAGCCGAGGAGGCGGACCAGGTTGGGGTGGCTGACGGAGGAGATGAGCTTGATCTCGTTCAGCAGCAGCGCCGCCTCCGCCGCAGCGTCGTCGTCGTGGTGGTGGAGGCGGCAGCGCAGGCGCTTGATGGCCACCAGCGCTGCCGGCGCGCTGCTGCTGCTGCTGCCCGGGAGCTTGCCGACGTACACGGTGCCGTACGCGCCCGTGCCCAGGCGGTGCGTGTGCGAGAAGGAGTTGGTCGCGCGCGCGATCTCGGCGTACGAGTACACCGGCACGCCGCTCGACGTGGCCGCCTCCGACAGCAGCCGCATCGCCGCCAGCCGCTCCGACGCGGACCACCCGGCCTTGCGCCGCCGGCATTGCAGCCGCCACAGCAGAAGCGCGCCTGCGGCCGCCGCCACGCCCGCCAGAACACCTGACGTTGGAATTGATAAAATAAAATCATTTTCTTGGTCAAAAAACGCAACAAAAATCTGACTTGAAACTATAAAAAAGATTTTCCTTTTCATTCGTTTCATTTGTGCTTGAAACTGCACGTAACCGGCAGCGAAAAGAGGGACTACGGAGTACTCCGTAGACGAGACAAGCTGACTTTTGACTGGACTCGTCTCGTTGTTCTCACCATGCCGTACACAGCAGGATTACTGCCGTGTTGTACTGACAAACAGTAATAAAAGTCAAAGCAGAGGAGTCTGTTAATTTTTTTTTGTTTTACCTGCAGCTATGAGGAAAACCTTCTTCTTGGAACTCCCTGCAAAGAGAGAGAGAGAGAGAGAAAGTAAAGAAAAAGATGTGAGCATTATTACAATGGAATGTTATAGTAAAGTTTATATTTGCTTTTGATAAAACAAAAGTTGTAATGCATTGACTTGGTAAGATCATAAATTGGGGCAGATTCTGGTACTTGGTGGCAGTTGGTAGGTTTTCTGTTGAGGAGTACTAGTACCACTAAAAAAATGCTTCATTTATATGACCTGTCTGTCTGACTAAATGATTCTGACAGATTCATACTCAGATCATAGTAATTTGAATTCATATCATATCCCCCTAGTAGCATACAGTATGGTGATGTTTTATATTTGGGTCCGTACAAAAATATTTCTTTTTTCAAACAGTAACTAGAAAAAAATTACTAGTGCCGCTGAGTTTTGCAGCCTATGGAATTACACTCCCCGGTCTTTGTTGACAGCTCGATTCTGGCTAAGATACGGTTGTAGCTTGAGAAAATTCAACCGGAAAATCTTCCAGGCACAATTTGTTGGACCCAGAAGAGTCGCTGTGGAAACATACGCTCTATTTGTTTGGACTTGTTTGACTTATAAGACATGATTGAAAGTACGGTTGACTGATTTGGTGTGAAAGAAAAATACTGTTAGTTGGCTGATAAGCCATGGCCATGACTTATAAGGCAAATACGACAAGCGAACAGGCTGATATATAGAAAATACAAATCCCGTTTCGTAGCTTATGTCGGCGGGTTGAATTCAAGAAAGAATATGAAATTACAAAATGTGGTGTATTTTTAACTGTGAAAAGGTCAAGCAAGGCTTCAAGGGTTCCATGCGGCCATTTATCAGCTGGCTGCCTTAAGGATCAAGGTGTGGCTGTTTCAAACACGTGGCAGACACGGCTATCCTATTTGTCAAACCCAGTCTCCATCTTTGGCACCTGCCTTATTTAAAGCGCTGCAAAGTCTAAATGATGTGAAATTAGAAGAAAGAGTGACAGCCATCCTAGTATCATCTAATCTGCAAAATACAAAATCAGATTTGTTTTTTGTTAAAAGGTAGAGCCACCATGAAGTATGAATTATGAAAACGCACTGTGCTCGATGGATTCATCAAGGTTTGAAGAAAGTTTGATGAACTCTAGTAAGTGACGCCACTATTGCTACATTAACTTGGTGGGTTAGTGATGAGTGTGAACTATGATTAGCTAGCTCGCGGGTGATGAACCGCGGGGAGGACTTTCCGGGCCCGGATGACGTGGCACACAGGGCCCCGTTCACCAACAATAATCAGGATTCGGGATCCTCTGTGGCACGCGTGGATCCGTTGACTGGAGCAGCAATAATCAGGGGAAGCACAAGCACTCACCCGCGACGTAGTAGCATCCATCGCCGGCGGGGTATCCGTCGCCGGACATCCCGTCGGGGCACCGGCACAGATGACCCCACGACCCGCTCGGCGTCTCGACGTCGTGGCACGTCGCGTTCTGCGCGCAATTACCGGCCGCAGCGGCGCACTTGCCGTTGAGCCACCAGCCTAGCTCCACCACGCTGAACTCCAGCGCCGGCACCCCCTCCGTCGCTTCCCCATACACCGTCGCCGTCAGCGCGTGCTCGCAACCCGCATCATCCACGCGCTTCCACTCGAGGAACCGGTGGCTCTGCTGGCCCCTGGCCCTGGCAGCAGGAGCGTTAGCAGCGGAGGAGCTGTTCGCCGCCGGCAGTTCGGCTTCGGCCACGCACGTCCAGGCGGTGTCGTTGCCGCCGCACCCCGCCGTGCGGAGCAGAGTTGTCATGATGTCCGCGGAGACGGAGCAGTTGGCCCCGGCGGCCCTGTGGCTGTGGCAGCCGCCGCTGAGGAAGAGCCCGGTGTGGTTCGTCACGCCGTAGACGGAGCCGTTGAGCGCCGCCCTGGCCTCGCTGACGGTGCGGCTGCACGAGGGCGGCAGCGAGACGAGGAAAGTAGAGGCAGTGGCGTTGAACGAGAGGATCGTGTACGGCGAGGCCGCGGCGGGGCTGTGCGGGAGGAGTGGTGTGGACGCGGAGGCGTTGCAGTCCAGGAGGATGGGGCAGTCGCCGGAGAACCCGAAAGGGTACGGCACTGAGGTGCTGCCGCACCGGCGGTCGCTACAGCTGCCGCTGCTGGCGGCGGCGGAGGAGGAGGAGGAGGTTTCATACGAGAGGGAGAGGAGGAGGAGGAGCAGGCGGCGCATGTAGGCAGACAGAGTTCACGTTGCCGGCCGGTCGTCTCCGCTGTGTGCTTGCGACGAGTAGTGTTTTGATTGCTTGCTTAGCTAGTCACATACGCCTTTGTTGCCTCATATGGCATTTTATAAGAGGAAAATTAGCGTTTAAATGTGACCGTGGAGACCGTACCAAGTCAAATTACACTTTATATTTTATATAGAAAGGAGGGAGTACGTTTCATATATCCTTGACTTTGAGTGTTCAGATTTAGATATATTCCATCCATAGATTTCTAGATAGAACTATTCACGTTGCCCGTTTGGTTCGATAGATTGGACAAGCTATTTTTTACACTTTATATTTTATATAGAAAGGAGGGAGTACGTTTCATATATCCGACTTTGAGTGTTCAGATTTAGATATATTCCATCCATAGATTTCTAGATAGAACTATTCATGTTGCCCGTTTGGTTCAATAGATTGGACGAGCTATTTTTTGGTTGGATCGGATCAAAATAGTTGAATAATTATATCTAACAAATATGCACTAATCATTTAATATTTTTCATGCTAATTACTACTTTAAAATAAAATATGTTACTGCTACCCTAATTGGCACACAAATCATGCACTAATCAACATAGTAGCACTAATCAAAAGTAATCTTGGCATTATAATTTCTAAGTACTAACATAACATACTAATCATCATGATTTTTTTTACTAATGACCAACGTTAGAAAATGTGGATAAGCTCACCCGGTCATTTTTTATTGATAAACTTATTGAGTAAATAAAGGCCCCGTCATTTGGTCGAAGACTTTTACCAAACCTATTTGAAAAACACTGTTCTAATTTGAATTGTTGTGAGAGAAAAACAACATTAAATTTGAAAAAAAAAAGTCGAACAAGCCAAACTTTAAGACAAGCGAACGGGGCCAAAGATAATATTCTTTCGTGTTCGGAATGCGGTAAAATTTTCCTATTCCTGTGTTTTTCTCATTAATTAAATTGATTTATATGAAACTCCTATATAATTCCTACAAAAATTACTACGTTCCAGCCCTAAAAGTGATTGTCTAGTCTAGCTTGCCTATGAACCAAATGTTTATAAAACATGGACCGCCATCCTCTATGTTCCATCTATAGATATCTATCAAACTAAACATACCCATAATGTCCAAATTCATATATGGATTATCCATGCTTTCTTCCCCCGCTAAGACCCCTCTTGGTACAAAGGATTTATGAAGAAATTTGCAGGGTTATAGACTTATATGGATTTTTTCCTGTGTTCCTTTGGAACAAACATTGGTTATCCTCAAATCCTACAAAATTATTACGGAATGGTTCAATTCATGGGGATTTTAAAGGAGATCTAACATGAGATCTAACATGTTGGAAACTTTCCTTTGTAACTAACTCTCTTCTAATTCCCATGTTACATCCAAATGCTTTATAGAAAATCCCTCATGTTTCCAATTTAAGTAGGATTACATGTGACGTGTAATATTAATTCTATGTTTGACATGTAATTTTAATTCTATGTGTTTTTCCTACTCCTGTGTTTTGAATATCTTGTGTTTCCAAGAGGTCCGTCCTAACTCCTAACTCCTTGCTCCGAGCTATTCGTGTAGCCTCAAGCATGCACGTGTGGTGAGGGGTGACGTTGATGGTGGACATACGCGCCAATGGCCACGACTTCTCTGTAATAACGAAGGTAAACTCGAGAGCAATACTAGGGCTTTAGGCTTATCTATGTAAAAATTGTACTCTCTCCGTTAAAAAATAAATAAACGCAATTCTAGCATTGAACTTCGACCAAGACTTCAGGTTTAAAGTTAGATCTTTTTTTTAACGGAGGAGTACAGTAATGTACTAATCACCTACTCGTCGTAAGCCTAACATAGCTAGGTCGCGTATGATTGAGATTGAGCGCAGCAGGGAAGACTTTCGGGCCGTCTGGGCTGACGTGTCAAAAAAAAACACCGCTCGAGACTGTTGTAAAAAAAAACACCGCTCGAGACCACGCGACGCGAGCACAGTTCACCGTGACGAGAACGAGAGCAACGATATATAATTGATGACGGTCGGAAGCACAAGCACTGCGCACTCACCGCTCGGCGCGCTGTCGTAGTGGCACCCATCGCCGGCGGCGAACCCGTCGCCGGACATCCCGTCCGCGCACGTGCACCGGTGCCCCCACGCCCCGTCCGGCGTCTGCACGTCGTGGCACGTCGCGTTCAGCGCGCACTGCCCGCCGCCGCCGCCGCTGTTGCAACTCCCGTTGAGCCACCAGCCCATCTCCGCGATGCCGAACTCGATCGACGGCACGCCCTGCGCCGTGTACGCGTACACCGCCGAGGTGAGGGCGTCCTGGCACCCGGCGCCGGCCACGCTGTCCCAGCGCAAGAACTGGCCCTCGCCGCTCGCCGCGGCGGGGCTGCCCGGGGCCGGCGGCGCGGAGAGCACGCACGTCCAGGACGTGTCGTTGCCGCCGCCGCACTGCGCCGTGTGGAGGATGGCCGACATGACGCCCGAGGGCACGTTGCAGCTGCTCGAGTTGGACCCCGTCGTCGCGGGCCCGCCGCCGCCGCCGCCGCCACCGCGGAGGAAGAGCCCCGTGCGGGAGGTGACGCCGTAGCCGGCGCCGTCGAGCGCCGACCTGACCTCGGCGACGCCGCGGCCGCACGACGGCGCGAGTGAGACCAGGAAGGTGGAGGCCGTGGAGTTAAACGAGAGCACCGGGTACGGCGCCGCCGCCGTGCTGCGCGGGAGCAGCGCTGTGGACGTGGTGGCGTTGCAGGCTAGGAGGATCGGGCACTCGCCGCCGCCGCCGCCGCCGGAGAAGCCGAAAGGGTACGGTACCGTGGTGCTGCCGCACTGCCGGTTGCACGACGGCCCGGCGGCGGGTGTGGAGAAGGTTGCATCGGGGAGGAAGAGGAAGAGGAGCAATAAGACGAGCTGGTGCATGCAGGCTGCAGCCAGTTCACTCTGCTGGTCGTCGTCTCCGCGAGCTCTCTTTACTTGCGGCAAGTAGCAGTAGTGTTTTGATTGCTAGCTTAGCTAGTGATATACGGCTGCAACATGCCAATGGAGAGAGACGAGAGAGGTGGCATCCGTGTGCACGATGTGACCAGAGAGAGACGGAGGAAGAAGAAGAGACCGGGACGGGATGACTGGGGCCTCAGATTGCAAGTTTTTTCTACGAAACGAATCTTTTGAGCCTAGACCATAATTGGATAATAATTATAAAAAACAAACAAAAGTACAGTACCAAATACTGATTCCTAACTTCAATCTAAACCAGGACTGGAATGGGAACGCAGAGCTTGTTTAGTCAGTCAGTCAGAGAAGACGTGCAGTAAATGGTCAAGAAACTAATCCTGCAAAAAAAACATATCTTTTGGGGCATCATTCTGAATTCTGATTCCCCGAGTTGTTTTTGCTGCTCTCTTGACTTGACGCGGAGCCGGGCACGGCACTGCACTGCAACTGCATTGCAATGCACTGCATGTATGGCCGTGTGAATCTCACTGAAATTGAGAGTGCACCTGCGCCTGACCGTGTGGCACTCTGGCATGCCGCAGCATGCGTACTCCTACTACCTTCTGCCTTTCTGGCGTGCAGTGTACTCCCGGCTCCTGGCGGCTAGCAGCCTTTTTTAAAATGGTTATTTTAGGGTTCGTGGCACTGAACTATTCAACTTGTTGGTGCATGTCATTATGTCAACGGTGAAGCAGGCTGGCCGTTTCCAGCCATCAAGCGAGGAATATGTAGTCAGTTTTTTTAAATGTTAACCCTCCTAATCACGTCGTTTAGTTTTAAGCCAACCTCTTAGGTCTTGTTTGGCCAATAATCCATGTATATTAGGGTTGATTCGGATAAAAAATAGTATTTTTTTTTATTTTTATCCACTCCAACAATGTGGGTTGAGGTAGATATGGATGAAGCTAAACAAGCCTTTAAACGGAGGGATTTATTAAATTGTGGAACAAAATGTTTACTCATCATGCCATTCCACCCCACATGTAGGTTGGTCCAATGTTTTTAGGATGAGGAGCGGAAAGGATTGTCGACGGACAACGAGAGTCGTTTGTGTGCGGGGCAACAGGTTCTTATATGCCCGTGTGGTCGGATTCGACATCAATTTGGATCTAAAAGAATTTGGAGTCTTCGTCTGAATTCGGGAAGAGGCTGCGAACGTAAGCATGCATTTGGGGACAACATGGATGATGCGGAGTATAACCAAGGCCCCAGCATCCACTCTGTACACGCTATAGTACTGCAGGGACAGACTAGAAACAACGGTTGTCGTCGTCGCTGTCACACCCATTTTGCTCTTCTCGGACTATCTCCAACAAAAACACCCAAAATACAAGACCCATTCAACGTTTGGGTAGCGCTACAGTCAAATGGTTCAATACCCATTTGACATCATCTCTAACAGCAGGACCTAAAAGATAATCCTTTCTGCAAATGGGTTTTTAGGAGAGATGATACTCATATTTGGATTGTGCCTAAAATGGGTCTTCCGTATAGATACTCTATTGGAGGCTAATTTTGGATCTCCTGCTACCCATTTTAAATTTAGATGTCCATATAAGTCACCTGTTGGAGACAGTCTCACGTATTAGTGTAGAAAAAGCGGCTGCAGTGCAGCCGAACAAGCCCTGTCTCTCCTCCCTCGTCTCCGTCACCATGTTTGGCACAGCTCGGTCACTTGGCAGGAGAGGCAGTTTTTTATCCTCAAGGGCACGTGCCCCCGTACACATTACCATTGGATGTCCCATGCACATCACTAGTGCAGAATGCAAGGCAACGTGTCGGCCGTCAATTGGCTCGCCCTGCGCGGTCGGCAGTCCGCGCGCCCTCACGGTCACGGCCTCACCTCGATCGATTCCCCCCGCCGGCGATTTGTCATCCACTGCGGGCGCAACATGATGCAAGCAAGCAGCGCAGGTGACACTTCTGACTCGCGGCACGCGTGGCGCGCCGTGCGTCTCGCGTCAAAATTACTAGTAGTCAAGATACTGGGGGCGGGGTTATAATTAAGTTTAGAGAGACTCTTGAAAATTCTCTTAATAATCATAATATAAATAAACAATAGCATTTTCCTCAAAATTAGTAGTCAAATTCAGAAGTAGTAGTATTTGACTTAACACAGTTCTGCATAGAAATAGAATACTCGTCTTATTTCCCTCCGTTATAAATTATAATTCGTTTGACTTTTTTTTTTACCCTAAGTATTTTTCTCCGTTCCAAATTACAAGTTTTAAAATAAGACGAGTGGTTATACTTGAGGTAAAAAAGTCAAATGAACTGTAATTTAGAACGGACTGCATACAGTACAATATTGAGTAGTAGGAGTTAAGTAGGATCATCATCCGGACTCCGGAGGACCGTGTCGAGAGTCCGCGAGTCCTGGGCTCCTGGCTGGCTAGCTAGCGTCTAGCGAGCCGGCTCCTAGCTCTGAATTTTGAATCCGTCAGTTCAGTGACGTGGCTGCATGCCCGGCCTTTTTCCAGTCATTGCTTAATCAAATTTAATTAGTTATGTCACTTTCACCTTGAGATGAAGTCAATCTTGTGTCGGAGGCATTTTTGCTTCTCTCAGGCGGGGCGTCGTCCTAATAAGCATCCGATTTCGGATGCCTGGGACCAGGATATATCACTGTCTGCCCTTAGTCGTCTGTGTGCATGATCGTGCGTGGCCTGCACATATAAATTTGTGTGCCTAACTTGCAATTGAACCCATGTCTCGGTATGAACAAAACCTCACGTATGCGGGGCCTATTTGGTCAGATATGAGAAAGTTGCTTGCCCAGGTAACTGGTAACCACTGATGGCCTTTGTTTGCTTGCTCGCAGTCTGATGCAACTCTTCCTGTGGAGCCAAAAACACGAGGGAGACAAGGATGCAGCGGCAGGTTGATCCATGGATAGTTGCAACGAACGACATGGCATCCGCATTAATTCAACGCACACTAGCTAATTATAATCCCTTCATCCCCAAGTAAACCAATTACTAGAATCCGTATAAATCAAACTATCTTAAATTTAACTAACTTTATAAAAAAATATAAAATGGACATATTATGAAAATATATTCTATTGTATATTTAATGATACTAATTTGATGTCATAAATCTTGATAGTTTTCTCTAGGAATTCTGTTAAAGTTTAAAAGTTTGACTTAAGACAACTATAAGAATCTATTTATTCAGAGACATACGGAGTATTATACTACGTAAGGATAGAAACTAATAATCTACCTACTTGCATGTGATTCTTTAATTACGTATAAACACATGTGCGGTTACCCGAATAACAACCGGTTTCAGGAGACACACTTCTAATAAACAGGGTGCTAATAAGGTCATTTCCCTTAACATTAACCATTTAATCTGTCAAAAAACTCTTGGATGCCAAGTTTTCTTTAGGGAGCGATTACCATCAGAGTAACGAGACGTTCCATCCACTCCACACTTGCGTTCCGTTTTGTCTGCTGTGATGATTAGCAGTTGCTTGTTGGACCACCCCTCTCTGCATCTGTCGCCAACTCTGCTCGTAGTATCTGAATGATGGAGAGCGAGCAGATTTGTCAATTTGTCATCATCAGTTCCTGGATCCGGATGGCAGCAGGTCTACATTTCCGTTGGGGCCTGCGATGCGATGCGGAATGCGACGCTGGCCGGCCGGCCGGGCCGTGTCCTGCTCGATTCGATTGTCGTGCGACGACGACGTTCGCTGAGATTAAAGGCGGCTGATAAGTCGGATGGAGATGTTTTGGTTGTGAGAAAAAAAATAATATAGATTTTAGCTGATAAATTGGCTGATAAGTTCAAACGAACAGGCTGAAAAGAGAGATGCCATTTGCCGTGGGCCCTGTCGCATGACTGACCTGCAGGAGAGTGAAGCCCGAAGGCCGTATTCTTCTTCCCTTTTCTCTCTCGATTACTCCCTCCGTCCTCTTTTTTTAAGTTCCATCTAGATTTTCTATCATCGAATAATTGTATTATAAAAATATATCTAATAATTAATCTAGTAATATTTATTACGCACCATAAATATTAGTAATATCTTGTATATATTTAGTCAAAGTCGAGTATTTTGGCTTCTCGATAGACGTGGACGACACTTAAAAAGGGAGGAAGAAAGTAGGAGAAATCATTTCTAATTGATAATAGGAATAAACATTTTTAAGTAAAAATACTCTTCAACATCTTATTAAATTAGACCACACCAGATATAGCATGACTAGCTTTCAGAGTGCGTACAGATACGAAGAAGTTGTTAGAGGATAAAAAGTTATAGAGAGCGATTTTATTTAAATGATTTTTCAAATGATGATTTAGACAATGAGTTGAAGAAAGACTCTTGGAGGATGCTCTCGGAATGTTGTATTTCACTAGAAAAAGTACTTTTGTCACCTTCCTCCCTTCCTCAACTCGTGCGATTGTTCAATTTTCAACTCGCCTCTATAAAATTGAATTTTTACAATACTCACCTTAAGCTGTTTTGCATAACGGTTTTGTCATGGCACTGCGTCAGGCCGTCAGCTATGAGAGAGGTAAATTGGCGGTTTCCTAGATAGTTTAGGGATGTAAATCAAACAATAAATACTTTTCCTTCATAATCTATGCTGTTAAAAATCCTAAAATCTGGTATAATAATAAAAATATGTTTTAGCCCAAAAAATTATAAAATCGGTTTTATTTTTTTTTCTAAATTCATGCTCTACCTTCTGATGCCTAACTTGGAACTACTTGACTCTTTTGTGGGCCCATTTGGTTTCTATATGTCAGCCCTGTTCATTTGGCTTATAAGCCGTATTTTTTTAGCTAACTAAATAGTATTTTTCTCTCATAACAAATCAGCCAACAGTACTTTCAGTCATGGCTTATCAGCCAAGCGAACATGGCATGTGTTAGTGATGCTCTTATATCTACTATAATTAGTCTACATCGATATCTCGAAATAAATATGTTAATGCTCAGGTGGGTTTAAAGACAACACAAGTGCATATAACCATATCATACACGACTCTTAGCTATCAATCCACAAACACAAGCAATGCCAAAACAAAATTTAGAAAGAAAAACAAAAATATGATAGAAACAAGTGTCACTTGGTCTTTTACATAGTTCGAGTGGTCAACATTAACCGTATAGTAGACGACGAGAGCATTTGCTAGCAAACTGAACACCGAATGTTGGAAAATCGTACGGAGATGGAGCAAAATTGGAAAGGAGATGAGTTTGATAGTAGAATAATATGTGCTTATGCAGAGAATTACGTATGTGTTTGTCAAGAACTAATTTAGTACTTCTCCATATAATTCAGGTTGGATATCCTAAAAAAATCAGCTTGGATGAAAATAAGCCATTTCACTCTCACCCTACAGGTAATGGATGAGATTCTAGGATTTTTAACTGTACAAATTTTCTAGGAACAAATTTACTAAGGTTCCGGTTTACCTCAGAACTATCAATTAAGTACGATTTACCTCTCATATTGATGTGTCATATTGATGCGGCGCCACGTAGGAATCCTAACGAACGACCAACTTCACACCAAGAAATGTGCTACATATCCCTTCGTTCAGGCATTGCTATGTTCTAGCGTTTAATCTGTCTACTGGGCCACAAACCAGACGGCAGCAGGCTTGTTGGATATGCCGGTACACGTGAGCCCTTGGATGTGGCTGCTTCAAAGCACAATGGATTGGCTCGTGGGCTACGAAGATGACCATGACGCTTCAGATACAACTCGACATATGCACTCACGAACAGTGGCGAAGCGAAGTAAAAAAAAAAAAAAAACAGTGGCGAAGTTAGAGCAAATTAGAGGGTGTGCCTTTCTCTTATAGATGTGAAAATTTAATCTTTGTGAAAATTTGTTCCCAATAGTGGTTTTTCAAATTTTTGTGGGTGCATGGGCACCCACAAGCTACAACGTAGCTTCGCCCCTGCTCACGAAACAGGGCCGTGTCGAGAAAATCGAGGCCTGTTCTAAACTCTAAAATAGGTCCTGTTTAAAAAGAGAATTCTAAAAATATATATACATACTAAAATATATTTTTTTTCTTAGAAAATATATTATATAACATTGAGAATATAGGATGGCGTTTTGGCTTTTAGAGAGTATATTCACTAGTGCAGAACTGAGTTGTAGTCCCAGATGGGAAACCCCGCTGCGAATCTGGGACTAAAGACCCACCCTTTAGTCTCGGGCTGACCAATCGGGAGTGAATTGGGACATTTACACCAACCGGAACTAAAATGGTCTCTAGCCCGGGCCCTAGGGCGCCCATCTCTAGTCCATCCTTTTTCCTTTTTCCTTTCCTTTTCTTTTTTTTACGGTTTCTTTTCCTTCAACATTTCGTATACGTATTATATGCTGTTATTGTACGTCCATAAATAAGAATGAAACTAATTAACAAGAGCTTGTATATTACATTAAGATGATTTCCATTCATCAAGTTAATACAAACCATAATAATTTAAACCAAGTCAATACAAACTAGATGTTCAAGTACACACCAAAGTTCATGCAAACACGGCTTACCACATCCATTTGGTTGAATTTGGCCATCCTTTTCACTTACTTGCACAACGTCCATATTATGCTCAGTAAAGCTTGTATCTTCAAGTACGAGTAATCAGGCACATGGTAGCCAATTCGCTCAAGCGTCTGTAAACAATGCAGCACGGTATTGAACTGGTGCTTCTCCGATTCGGCATCTGTCGTCCCCTCTACACGATGTCTTGGCGTAGATCTTGACTATACCTGATAGGGATGTCAAAGGCTACACGTCCATAACTCACCACTTTCATCATTCACGACCTCACTTGTCGTTTTCTTAAAGATGTCCCACACCCCCGAGCAAAAATAGTGCTGATTCTAGCCACTTGATCGGTGATATAGTCTGTGACATATGCAATAATCATATTATGAATGAATAATATATATGCAAGAATCAAATTACCATGCAAAACTTAAAATATTCCATACTATAGACGGATCTAAGAAACACGAAACGGCCCTATCCGGCGGTGGCGCGAATGGCAGAGTGCTAGGGTGGAAACCTGGTTCCCGTGGCAGGGGAAGTCTATCGCCATTCATCATACCTAAAAAACTGAAAAAAAAACTTCCAAATAAATGTAGAACCACATATAAATACCATGCACTATATTAGAGAAACATGTATTAAAAGTGTCAAGATTAATATGTGCCCAGTGAACTTAAACATATTTTGCAACCATTTTGCACCCTACTTGTTGGCACATAATTTATTTTAACGATTATTAACTCTCATCAAGCGCTAAAGTTGGTGATAAAGATCTAGAAATGAGATATATTATTAACAACAAAATATTAGAAGATAAAGTTGCTAACCTTTAGAAAGTAGAATGAAATGAAGGATCGAAAATCTTCTCAAAAGAGCTAGTCGGCCGAGACCAAGAACTTGCTCACCCAAGCAAGAATACACACGAATAGCTGAGAGCAATAATTGACCCTGGGATGGCTTCGAAGCGGGACCATGGAAGCATATATAAAGTGGTGAGATTTAGTCCCGGTTAGTAGGACCTTTCGGGACTAAAAGGTCATCCTCTAGTCCCGATGCAGAAATTGCATGGGCTTAGGGGGACTTGTGCCCCCCTCCTTGTCTTGTCACTGGGATGGAGGGATCGGATGAGATGAAACGAAGTCCCTCATTGTGGGTGTCGTCCGGTTTCCAATGAGTTGGAAACAACGCTAGCTTGTTTTATGGCCATGAAACACTTCCCTTCTTTTTCCTCATTAATATGGTATAAAAACTCTACTTTTGCTGATGTGTCAGCTTATTTAATGTCTATACTCTCGTGACATCTCCATTGAGACTTGCCTAATTGCTCGTTTGTTGGATCTGCCGGTAACGTGAGCCCTTAATGTGGCTGCTTCAAAGCACAATGGATTATATTGGCCCGTGGGCTAAGAAGATGACCAATACGCTTCAGATACAGCTCGACATATGCACTCGCCAAGGCAGACCTGGGACACCGTACATGAAGATTGCTGTAGCATCTGTCACTGGGAAACGTACATGAAGTTTGTACGCCGAAATGGTTCTAAAAAAAATCATGCCCTTGACCTTCTTTTTTCTCTTAACATCATTCTCCTGCCCTGTAGACTATTAGTCTATATACACACATAGGGGTAACGAAAACAAAACAAGAACCTTGGATTTCTTTTTTCCAAGCATTAAGAAGCAATAGTGTCACTTCTGTCTGGAAACTAGTACTAGTATATATATGCATAGCGCAACTGTTTACAAGTTGCCCTGTTCGTTTGGGCTTGTTTGACTGATAAGGCATGGCTGAAAGTACCGTTGGCTGATTTAGTGTGAGAGAAAAATAATATTCGTTGACTGAAAAAGTACGACTTATAAGCCAAACAAGCCTAAACGAACATGACACTTACATGCCCACTCATTTACACTTCATCAAAGATCTTACATGCCATTAGTAAACCCCCCATCCATTTCCCTTTTGCTCTAACCTTTACTCAATCTACCCTAAAAGGAAGAGAAAAAGAATGACTAATCATACATTTTACTAGGTTGTGGTAAAAAAAACCCAAGCTCCCTGCTTGTGATTCTCACTGGGGAGGAAGAGGCAGAGACTGGGATGGAGGGGGGCTAAAATTAGAATGCCAAGATGGTTTCGAAAGGATCCTTGTGTAGAGTATTTGGTTCCACACGTCTGGCACGCCAGGAAGGCACCAGTGGATGCAGTCCGCGAACTCTGGGTCCGCCTTCTGCTTCGGCGTCAGCAGCTTCCCTTGCCGGATGGAGTATAGCGACGTGTGGGCATCCTTCCGGTAATTTGACATCTTCGTGATGTTGATCACTGTCACCGGAACCTTCTCCATGGACCATGGAGCTGGCCACCTTTACCACCAGGTCATACATCCGCATGTCATGGTACAGGTCCAGGGGCTGGCTGTAGTTCTGATACGGAAGCGTCTCTTTTACACATCTGATCCCGTCTGGGTTTCCCCAATTATGTGGGCTGTTGTCATAGAAAGGAAGCAAGTTTAGCAAGACCAGCATGTATAATATAAATAAATGAGTGAAATATGGTGCTAATTCACAGCCCAAAAGAAACAGAAAACATGAAGTTAGTTTTATGCTGACATCATCTAATCACAATTGCTCAATTTTATTCCTTTACTTTTTCAACTAATCACGATTGCATCAAACTAAAATCAACTGGTACTTGAAGAAAGCAATATGATTCAGTGCCAAAGGAAAAGCTAATTTGCACATTTATGGTCATAAAAGGTGTGAACAAATTCAAGTACAGCATGCAGCAAATGGCACCTGCTTTCTCTTATGATGTCCAGGGCATGACAATGTGGAGGCATGTGGGGAAAGCTTTCTATGAAACATGAGTTGTATATAGACACCGACACTCACTTTTGTAAAATACTGGCTATGAAGCACTCAAGACTCACATGATGCTATATTTGACTCTGCTGATCTACTCCAGAGACACTCGCTATAATAATTAGTTAGTTGTGTCTAACAATGCACAAGACTCCAAACCTGATGACAGAGCTTGCCAACTAAATTTATCTGCCATGGGTAACAGAGCACATCTATACTATTTAAATAAGCCATTCATCATGCATTAAAAGCATTATGTTTTTTCAAACTTAAGAAATACCACATTGATTAAGTTAACATGAGGCTAGTCAGTATGTACCAGAGCACATCTATAATTACAGATGGGGGATGTAAGTATGTAATGTACGAAAAAGGTATAAGACTCTGACTGAGAGAGGCTAAACATTCAGCAAAATGGCTGGATTACTAAGTATCAACAACAAAGGAAATGGTATGGGTATTTAACTCAATGCATACTGCATTTATTGTATTGCATCCATATATAATTGCTGTATATGAGTTGATGGTTTCAAAATTTGAAGGGATAAAATTTCCAGCATTGAAGTTGAGGGATGATAATTAAACCATGAGTCCGCGACTTTAGTTGAGGGATGAAAAAGACTATTTTCTATATAATATTGCATTCACATTTAATCCTACGTTGCTACTTCATTTTATAGGTTTATTAAGAAGCTGAAAATCAAAATGCTGATGTGAATGATGAATTTGTAGGTCAATCGTAAGTACACAGAGAACATCCCTTCAACTTTGCTACCACCCAATATCAATTTTAAACATTCATTTGTAGTATTTCAGAAAATTAGTGCTCTGTTCCTGAGGTGTGCATACTGCATACTATATATGGTTCGATATATTACTACTATTTACTATGTGTATGATAGCTTTAGATGTTTATACCAAACTTATTGGTTGGATTTACAAAAAAGTTTCCACTTCCATTTTAGCATATGAAATTCAATTCTTTTTTAAAAAATAAAGAAAATCACTATGACCCTGTATATAGGAAGTTTACAAGGTCAATATTAGTATTGTATATACTTCATTATTTGTACAGAGTAATCGGCAACATTCTTCTCTATCCGCTTCGGTGCCCCTAAAATGTTCGATGAAATGCTAAGCTTTCGCCTACAACGTTTTCTATTCAGTTTGGGTTGTAATTTGTGCTCACATTTTCTAAATTTCCTAGCTGCTGGTATAGCAATGGGACAGCAGGAAGCAAGCAAAAGCTTTGAGACTACTCAAGCACAGTTCCTAATTCTTCTCTCGCTCCAGGGCTCCAGGTCCCAATAGCTTCCAGCGGTGCATCAAGATCTCCTGGTGCAAGCAACCTAGGCTCAGCAAGGACATGTTGCTATGCTAGCACGAAGATAATCAGATAAATGATCAAACTTCCAAACCATGGTGAGAGATAACATGGTACTGAAGTCATTTCCACTGAAAAGAGATCGTATTGGTTAATGGCTGTGGCCAAGATAAGGGACATCTTTGGGGTCCTTCAAATTTCAAAAGAGGGAGCTTCGATTTTTTTTAACATGTTGCATGCACATCTCTGAACCCTCAAACACTGCTGCACTGTACAATCAACTATAGGGTTCCTCTAATTTTAACCCTCAACTACAAAAACGTCTAGCGGTGATACTCCAACTGTCAAAACCGTTCACTTTTAGCTTTGGGCGGATTTGCGGCACGCTGGTGTTGACCGCCACGTAGGATGTCTTTGTTTTGTCCATCACCTCCTTCCCGTGGAGCGGATTTGATCACGCCCGCCGCCTGGTGTTGACCGCCACGAGGATGCCAACCTCCATCTCGGTGACATATGGGGCCCACACGTCACCCACTCATCACCTCCTTCCCAACGGTTGCCAGGCTGCGGGGCTCTGGCGCCTCGGCCAGAAGATCGAGCTCGCGGGCTCTGCGGTCAGGGGCGGCGCCAGAGCGAGACTTGAAGGCCGCCGCAGATTTGAGAGGAGGAGAGCGACCGACAAGGGCAGTGCACCTAGGTAAGGGCCTTGCCAAGCCGCATAGGCCGCGACTACGACCTACGCACAACCATGGCGGTGGAGGAGGCCTAACCCGCTGACAGCGCAAGCGGGCCCATGCCGTGATGATGGTGGCCGATCAAGTGCTTGGGCAGCTGCGGGAGGAGGGGGCGTGGGCGACCACCGCAGCGTCTTTGGCTAGCCCATGACCAAAGTGCCACGATCGCATGGAGGAGCCGAGAGAGACCCTGAGCCCCCATGCTCGCCGGCAATTGGTGAAACCCAAGTGCACATTTGAGCAATGGTGATCAGAAATAGATTTACGCCGTGGCAAGCAAAATGATGCGATGCCATGGTGAGCCAAGCTAACGAGTCTCTGAGCATATATGGACCAAAGAAAACACTCGGATCGATGGTTAGAAGTTAAGCAGCGAACTCTAGCGCTCGACCACCTTTAAAATATTTGTGGCCGCGACTGCTGGTGAAGTCCGGTGAGTTTGGCACATTTGATGGCGCTGAACCTTTGCGAGGCCCGAGAGGGGCAAGCAAGCCTGAGCGGAGGAGGAGTGGTAGAGAGATTGAGTGGGAGCATCCACGTCTTACTACTGGATTGCTTGCAAGCATTTGCCTAAGGTTGAGGCGGAGGGTGTCATTGTTAAAAGGCGGCCAAATGCGGGTAGCGATTGGTGAGTGAGGCACTCTCCACTTGGAATTCGTGGACACCGTGTCACTCTTGGTGGTTGAACCGACGGTTTGCGGATCGGGTACAACGGATTAGAGGTTCGAGCGAGGTGAGCACGAGCTATATCAAGTCTCTAGCGAGTCTATTAGTGGTATTTTATTAGACTCTATCGTTCGATGGAGCTCAACCCCCAATTTATACTGTTGCGGCGATTGAAGTGACCGGAGGGTGAAGGAGAGGTGTAGGGGAGAGTGATTGGAGCCGCATAGATGAGGCTCAATCTCTTTACTTACATAAAATAGTTGGCGCTCTTTAGTTATTAGTTGCCAGAGCTTGTTAGTGCCAATTGGTTAGTGTGGCTCTTTAGTTAGCTTTTGAGAGCGCTAACTTAGTGTAATGGTGACATAGCTCTGATACATCCGTGGTTGGTGTCTTGTATTTTTGATAGTAGGATAGCGCAGACATTTGCGCTGATAATTGTCTAACGGTTTGCTCAGTGTTGTCATTGTAGAAAATTTTATTAGGCCAGCTAGCCTTTGGGACCTTTCAGCGCGCAGGAGGAAGCGGCGCTATATAAATTAGAATTGTAGCAAGTCTCTTTGAAGTGGTATTTTAACCGGTTTGCGCCGAAATTTCGCTATTCACCACCCCGCTAATTTCTTGCTCGGGCCGGAGGTGAGAGGAGCGATGTACCGCCATCAAGCATAGAGTCTATTAGTGGTATTTTATTAGCTTCGGTGGAGCTCGCCACAATTTCTAATGTGGAGGCTGAAGTGCCATGGCGAGAGATGCGCAAAAGTCTTTCGAGTGTCGCGTCTTTGTCTGGGCGCGCGGCAGCTGCTTGCCTGCTTTCGCCGCGCTGCTCTTTCAGCCTGCTGCCGCTCTCAGCGCCACCTGCCTCGAGGCCTGCCTCTCTTCACTTGCAGGCTGCGAGAGCGGGAGGAAAGAGGGCTGCCTCAGATCAAGTTGTCAATCCTTCACCAGAACGGGACATGGTCCTCAAAAGGGCATGGTCAAAACCGTTCCACTTAGGACAAAACAATACCCCCGCGCCCAGGTGCTAAAAGTGAACGGTTTTGACAGTTGGGGTATCACCACTAGACGGTTTTGTAGTTGATGGTTAAAATTAGACGAATCCTATAGTTGAGGGGCCAAAAATGGACATAATCCTTTTTTTTGGAAACACTCATTTCGAAAAGAGCTTCATGAGTAAAGTTATTTTTCTCTCCCTCTCACAAAAATATGAGTTAGGGTGAAGTTAAAAAAAATAGCTTATCCCAACTCTCTTTCTCATCTCTCTCTCATCCCTACATAAACCTGGTGAAGTTGTTTTGCTAAATAGTTTTTTCAAAACAGTCAGCTTCACCTAAAAAGTTGCTCATCAAACTGTTAAAAAAAATAGATTTCAGTGGTGAAGCTGACCAGCACCAAACAGAGCCATACACTTCCACTTTGTGTATGCCTAACTCCAGGGAGGAAATGACCAAAATTTCCACTAAGGCAGAGACACTGACACTGATACCGTTGCCTGATTCCTGTGATGGTTTCTCTGATTCGAAGCAAAGTTAGGAGCAGAATCTTTTTTTTTTTTCGAAAGATCAAGTGTTTATTTTTTTGATTTTTTTCGAAATATCAAGTTAGGAGCAGAATCACCGCACACAAACTGACAAACACCTCCAAAATACGCCCTCAAAACATCCCTCTCCTCCCTTCCGTGCCGTCGCATTTCCACGTTCTAAAATGAAAAAGACTTTAAAAACCAACAAAATTTTTAAAATTTCCAGATTTGGAAGTACTGCTA